GTATGGAAAGTATTCAGACCCCCTTAAATTGTTCACTCTTTGTTATATTGCAGCCATTTGCTAAAATCAAATCTGTCGGCGAGTCGTGCACTTTCACACTAGAGTTTACGGTACGTTAAATACAGGTGCGTTGCACATCCTTTCAGATGAACTGAAAAACAGCACAGATCGCAGAGAGTGTTCGGCGAGAGAAAATATATCTGAGCTAAACTTATACTTAGCCTCCAACTCACACACTGGCGAGTAAAATCTGAGAATTTATTAGCAATTGGCTAATATTAGACATCATTTAGTCGCCCAGTGTGAAGATTTAGTCGCATATGCGAGTGATTTACTCGCAATGTAGAGGGTTGCCCATGTATCAGCCTCACATGGTATTTTTTCCCCCTTCTTTCAAAGTTAATAGGGACCGGCAACTGTTTGGTTACCCAAAGTATCTTGTTTTGCGTTCAGCACTAGAAAGAAATTAATACAGTTTTGGGACAACATGAGAGTGGGTAAATAATGACAGAATTTTTGGGTGAACTATCCCTTTAATGACAAGCGACAGCATGTTTACTACAATTAGTCTGCTGTCGCTTTAAGAGCTGCACACATTTAATATACAGGCACGCACCCGTTTTTCTTTTAACTGTTTCTTATATCACTTTATAATAATTTAATGTAATTTAATTTTATTTTATTTTATTTTTAATCCATAAATAAAAAAATTGCAGACTAATGTAAGATGTCCATCTGATCCAAGACTTCATACAACCTATAACCTAATAAAATTATTGCTGTGTACAGGATATTTCTGGCTATGAAACTGTGTACACATAGGATACAGATGAGCCTTTGTGTTTGGTGCACTGACAAACATGTTATCCAATAGATAGCCTGGAATGTGGATTACATGTTTTTTTTTCCTGCTAGAGCAATGGGATGGCAAGATTTCAAACCTTCCTGCTGAATTCCCAAATCCACACGCATTAATGCTGTTGGAGAACAACTAGTCTTCTCATGTCCTCTTGCTTCCCGCTCTGGTTTTTGACTAATCGGTGTCACTGCTCGCTTTTCTATTCTTGCATTTAGCCTCTCGAAACGAGGGATGGCACGTTGTGGTTGAGAACAAAATTGTATGTGAAAACCACAGCTGAAGCATGGTCATTGTCATAGATCTGTTTTTACACTGCAGCCCAGTTCTGGCTTGAACATTCTGTTTTTCAGCTCTTTAACACATCATACACACATCTTTTACATGGCAATTAAGAAAGAATTTTAATGGAATATTTTTGGTCTCCCAAACAAAGCCATTTTCTGATTAAATCTAACTGCTTAAATTTTTGTCTGAGTCTTGATGTCCATCTAAGTAAGTGAATATCTGGTTTGCCACACAGAATTGTGTCTAATCTCCAGGTTGCGTTAAGACTTCGTAATTATTTCCAGCAGTGGTAATCCCAACCACATGTGAACCATTCCAGATAAAACACCATTGAGTAGATTGAAATGTGTTCAACTTTAAAACACTGTTGTCATTTATAAGAAGAATCAGTCCGATTCAGACTTGATGATTGGAGGTGAATTTATATTTCCTCATTCAAGGTATGTTCAACTGACAACACAATAAATCCACTGTCATGTTTTATGTAACATGACCTCAGTAGGAATTTCAGTTTTAATTATTTTATTATTGTTATTATTATTTTTTTTTATTTATTTTGATTATGAATTCCAGTTACTTTTTTAAGCCACTAGAAATTATTTTTTCGACTGATAAAAGAAAAAAAGGAGGAGGAAGTGGGGGGGGGGGGGTTCCCAAAGACGTCTATTGAAGCCATGTAGTTGAGGACCACAATATCATGGAGATTTGGACCAATAAGCGACCACCCAGAACACCCTGGTAACCACATAGTAGTGCTAAAAATCACTTTTGGAGAGTTTACATCTACTTAAGAGCCATTCTAGAGGAATACATTAATGTTTTGAGCTTTCAGAATGTGAATGTATCAGATCAATTTATTTCACAATTTTTTTTAAAGAATGCTAATGCAAAAATTGCAGAACTCTACAGTCCAGAATATTTGGGCCATGTAATCACACAATGTAATGGCCATGTTTAAAGGAAAGTTTTTAGCTGTGTATGGAAACAGCATTGGAACGACGTTCCATGGGGTAGCAAGTGTGGGGCGAAAAAAAGTTGTGCTACGATTCCCCTGTATCCTAGTTTCCCTAATCTATGGCAATTGACTTTATGCACGGTTACTTCCTGGTTTTAGATAAGTCAGCTCAGTCATTTCTGGTCAACTGTCAAAATCAACTGTGCTATAAGGGGAGCAGCTCGGTTTCTCTACATAATCCATTTTTCCAATTTGAAGAAAAGTTTTGTTTATATAAGAGGACCAAACGTCCACGTATACAGTTTCAGGAATGACAAATGTGAATGTAAAAAATTAAGCGAGTGAATCTGCTAAATTGTTCTACAAGTCATTGCTATGATTGACAGTGATAAAGCAACGGACGAAACAAAACATCTGACGAGCCGATGTCAAAAATAGAGCTGTGCATGAAGTGATTCTGACTAAATTCAGAGTAACAAAACTACAGCAGCAACAACTCTGCTGGCTGAATGTATTTAGCAGCTTCAGTTACAGTTAAAGATAAAACCTAATGTAGTTTTTAAATCTAAAAGTATTTCAAAATATTGAATGCGTTATTATGTAATTGTTATACCATTAATAATTAACTTGCTATACTTTATACTTCAGTGCAGTAAAAGTGCTAAAATTATAATAGTCATTTCATAATAAATCCAAAAGCAAGATGTGGAGAAAAAAAACTAGGGAGTTGAAATGGTAACTGAGCTAATGAGTGATCCTCTGCGGTCATCTACTGGTTATAATGGTATTTTCATGTCAATTTCATCTTAAAAGTCTTTGTTTTCCACCTAAAAGAATCTTTAAAGTGAATTTTACTGCACAGCTCTAGAGTTGAGAAATAATAAAGGCTTTAAAATATGATAAGTGTTTAAAAAATGTGTTCATGACTATGAAGGTAAGTTAATGATTATCAAGAATACCATTATGATGTCGTAGGAGATAGCATCGCTTGCTAGCTAACGTTAGCCTAAACCTTTATGATAGTGTTTAGTTGTCAGCATTTAAATGTACAATTATGTGTCTAGGTACTCTCCTGGGATTACCAGGCTCGGCATATAAAATGATATGTTGTTAACATGAAACTGTATGTTAATGCCGCTATCATTATTTACGGTGTTGCAATTATTTTGTTTCTCAGTTTCTGATGAGAACGAGGCAGGAGAGGTTTCTGTGAGTCTCTACCTATATGTACCACAACATCAAATGACGCTTCACCGGAAGTTTACGAGCTGGCTTATCTTTATGCAGAAGTTTTAAACAACGGTTCGTGCACATTGTCAATTAATGCATTTCATTCTCCAAGTGTGTGTATGAACGTGTTTATCGTTACATGGGTGTGTTTGTGGTTAGCAGAAACTTAAAGTTAGTTTTGTAGTCCTTGTTCATCTAGATATACGTTCAACTGACCATATTAATAATATTATAATTTAATATAATATAAAATATAAATTTTTAGGTTTTTTATGAAATCCATTTTATTTGATCGTATTTAATCTTTCTGAATTAAATTTTTTTTCTGCCATTTTTTTTCTTGATTTATTCATCCACAATTTGCCATATTCTGTAACATTACGCATTGCACATTATGCTGTAAATTAAATTTTTAACACATTAAAAATCAGTGGATTTTTGCTTGTGTTTGTTTGGTATTCTGTTATTTTTTTAGTTATTTTATTTAGTTTGGAGGTGTTGTCTCCTAGCTACAATAATCTGCCTGAGCCCGTGCTGGGAAGTCATGCAGATTGTGGGAGTGAGATATGGATCTTTATGGTAGTATAACTGACACACATGGATGTGCCGAGAAGGGTCACAGATTTCCACTGACTTTTACCGTATGCATGTCCTCCTGTCATGGGCCAGTGTTAGTGACAGGTGGCCTGGGGCACTCTGGGATGATACCAGGGCTTTCATTCTCCTCACACATGGACAGGGAACTGTCTGGTTTTGGCTCCCCAAAGGCCGCTTATCATAGCCCGTCAGAGAATGCGTCCAGGGCGTGTGCCGGAGGCGGATGACAGCTGCCTTTGATTGCAAAGAGGACACCTCACTCCCACCATCCAGCAGCTGTGTGCTTTCCCGCCACACTCATTCTTGACCCTGTTTCTCTCTCTGTTTGCCAGACTCACATATCCAGACTTCCTCCTGGGGCAGTGGCCGGACAGTCACTGGCAATCGAGGGTGGAGTTTGTCGACTCGGGACCATGAGTGACTGAAGCGTTGTGAAATCACCCTCTATTTCTGCAGCAATATGCCAGCGCCGGGATCTTTATAGCAAGAGCTTGACGTTGTGTCATTGTAGGACACAATCATAAAGGGACAAAAAGGTAGCAATATGTCTCACAATAATTCCCAATATTATTATTTATTCAATCCTTTTATTAAACCTACCATACAACTTTCACGCTCTGTTCACAGGCATAGCATAGACTGTTTTACTGTCACTTGAGAGGGGGGGGGGGGATACAGGGTTAGCAGGGTAATTTGCCTAAGGTGTCTGCTAAGAAAAGGGCATGCCAAATGCACTTCAGGACTAGTGTACTGCTCTGGTTTTAGTGGGCTTCCAAGAAACTCAGCTTCTAGTATGTGCTGGACAAGACTTGATGCTCCATTTCTATTTCTCTTTGAAACAATATGCACTGTCCTTATCATTGTAAATAAGCTAAGGGTTGTTGAAACAGGGTGGCCATTGATGTAAACGGCTTATTGGTTTTTTGCTTACTTGACATTTAATATTACTTTTACTATTATGTTTTTATATATAGCCAAGATGCTTGTTTTGTGCAAAAGTTCAGTTTAGTGACTTTTAGTGAAAAAAGGTCTGATTTGACACGTGTGCTTGCCGTGAGTCTGGTTGAGTTGCAAATGCATACACAGTGTGGCATACAGGATAAAATCCTTTTTGAAATTACAATAATTGTCTATTCATTTTACTTTTTTGAAGGTATGTATAGCATTTCAGTTGGATGAATAGTTCACCCAAGAAATGTTTTTTTTCTATTACACATTCTCATGTCATTCCAAACCTGAACAATTAACATTCTTCAGTGGAGCACAGAAGCTTGGTTTCATTAAGACTATCCTGGCTATTCTTTTTCATATAATAAGTTTTAAAACAATTAAAAAGAACCAAAGTATCAGAAAAATATCCACATGACTTGTGCACTATATTCTTCAGAACTCATACTGAACTTGCGTACAGGTCACATGACACTTTGGTGCTTTTACGTCCTTTTTATAGTTTGAAATATTCAGTCCCCATTTATTGAAATTGCATGGAAAAGTGATCTTTCTGTTCTTTTGTTTTTCATGAAAATATTTATGCAGATTTGAATGACGTGAGGGTGAGTAATTTTTAGGTGAACTATACCTTTAAAGAGTGAGATTATTCTCAAATCTAATAATATGCACTGTTGAAAATAAGTTAATTTGTGGATGTTACACTTTCACCACAAAGTTGATGGCAGTAGGATTTCAGAAAGATCTTCTGATGAGACTAGATGCACACGCACTTTTGCCCAGCGTCTTACAAAATAAGTGCACTACTTTGACAAACTACACTGCTCGTGAGTGTACTAAGAACATGGTGCATGTTGTGTAATCCAAGTATGCATTTCTTTTGCGTACTGCGAGTTCACTTGACCTTGTTTGAACAGCTTTGTGTTTTCTCTAATGCCGCGTGTAGTGCTCAGGAGATGAGACCCAAAAAAGCAAGCTAAAAATGACTGTTAGTCCATCTTAGAAAATGCAAAATATATTTTAGGTCTGTATTTTATAATGGCAGAAAAATTAGAGGATCTCGAAAATGTATTTATAAATTACACTGAATCAAATATGTTGAAGGTTATTATATTGATGAGGGTTTTTTGGCAGGGCTAATATTTCAAGTTCTGTAGTTTAGATTTTTTCTTTAGTTAAAATACTTGCAGTACTATAAAAATGTAATATATATATGCTTATTTTAGTTTTACATGACCGTGCATTTATTATGAAATGTCTGTAAACGTTTCCAACAGCAGATTGTACTAACCTCTTGCTATTGTAATGCTCAATAAAACTGAGAAATGGTGTGCAGTTGTAAGTGTTGATTTATTCATTCATTGACACTTAGTACATATAGAAGTCGCGCACAACGAAATTAATAGCACTAATATTTTAACAATAATGTACAGTCTCATGATTGATGGCTCAAGTCAAATCAATGGCATGAAAAATACTTTTTTATTATAACATAATAAAAAGGGTCTCCCTATTATTGGCATGATGAGATTCATCGCATGTCCAGCCTTTTCTTGCAATTTCAGTAAATAAACACAAATAAAAGATACATTTACCTTGAACTCATATTTTGTTGGAGTGTCAGCTTTTGGAAAAATCATGTTAATGTAATTGGCTCTTCAGGAATTGTGGGGGCAACAGAGAACCTAAGACAGCCGTGTTGGTAATGAAGACTAGCCTTTGCTAGAGAGTAAAAAAAAAAAAATTAATTACTAGATATACATTTAAGATTGTCTTCTGGGAAAACAGGTCAAAAATATAGATGATTCATCCTGCACTACAGATTTTTGTCCAATCAAATCTTCTCTAAAATGACAACTTTCCTCCCTCTAACACCATCTGCTGCGGAGTAGAAATGGCAAATTACGGTCCACGACTGTGATGTAACTAAACCCTATTCATTAGTACCTCTGTATGTCCCGCCCAAAATTCCTATTTTAATAGGATCGACACTGACGTTAGGTGTCTCTCTTGGGAGCCCCAACCACCTCTGAGCATTACAAGAAACGGCCAATGTCAATTGGCGAGTGGAATTTGCATGCCAAGCCACTCCCTGTACATACGGGTAAATAAGATGGCAGTGTTCATCCACTCATTCAGATTTTTGCTTTGGAGCTGATCTCTTCATGAGCGCTTTCTCTCTTCAAGAGAAATTCTATGGAAACAAAGGCTTTGCTCTGCAGGATATTCTCGGCTGCATTATACAGCGCATTAAGTGGTGTGTTCACCCCTGTTTTGGCACAGATAAGTGCTGTGTTCCACCCCTTGGTGCTCCAGCCTAAAAGAGCAATTTCCTACAGCTTGCACAGTCGAGAGTGTCTTTTGGGATGTCTTTCTGGCCGTGTGCTTCTGGGTGCGATAGTTTCCTTACCTCTGATGATGGACAGGATCGCTGTCTCACATGTCTGGGGCACAAGCATGCTGAGACTGCTTTTGTGGATGGTTCATGCCCGCACTGCGAGTGCATGTCCATGGCTACTCTGAGGTCGTGGCTCGCATTCATTATGAGGCTTCACTCAAACTCTACCCAGTCCAGTTCCTCTGGTCATAGAAATCTCGGGGCTGCATTGGTTAGGGACAAGGGAGACCTGAGGATTACAGAAGTCCTGCTCCTCACAGCTAGCATTTTCAATCAACAAATCGTGCCTTGAGTTTGGACTGTCTGATTCTCACATTGTTGATGTTTTGTTGAATGCACCCAGAGCTTGAGACGCTCTGAGCAGCTCTTTGTTTGTTTTGGAGGACAGCAGAAGGGGAAGGCTCTCTCCAAGCAGAGGTTGGCCCACTGGCTAGTGGATGCCATCGCCTTGGTGTACCAGGCACAAGGCGAGCCGTACCCCCTGGGGATGAGAGCTCATTCCACTCGGACTGTTGCCTCCTCCTGGGCGTTGGCGCACGGCACCTCTCTAGCAGATATCTGCAGAGCTGCGGGCTGGACGACACCTAATAGCTTTGCAAGGTTCTATAATCTCTGGGTAGAGCCAGTTTCCGCCCGTGTGTTGGGTACAAACAGGTAATTTGCCGGGAGGTCTGGTTTCTTGGTGTCTCGCTTGCGGCGCCATTCCTCTGGCTAGGATACGTGTGCTTATCTTCTTCCAGTAAGTTCCCCATCTGATGAATCCTGGTCGATTTCTCCAACACCATGTGGCATTCAGACTTGGCGGAGGAGTCTGTTGCCGCATTCAGTATTTGGGTTGCATGCCATTAGTGAGATTCCCTTGGTTCCCCCGCATGTTTTTCCACGATTACGGTTTCCCTTGGTAAACCTGTGTAAGAAAAAGGGAAGACGTCGAAGATCTTGATTAAGAATGACTTTTATTACAGAATAGTAGTGACAAAGTACATGTAGTACCTTGGGTTCAACGGAGTCAGACTGAACCCCAAACATCCTAAGCTCAAACATTTTATACACTTAGAGTTTACCGTCAATGTAAAGGAAGTTGCTCCTGTTGTTACAGCTGTGGTCTGTATGTTAATTAAGTTCTGACACCCCTTTTGTCTGAGGTGGTTCTCAGTGTCCCACACCTGCTCCCATTCTACAATTGGTCACCATTTGCTCAGGATGTGATCATCCCAAGTGATCTACAAACAACATAACTGTTGACTTTCTTCTTCTCTATAATAATTAAGCCATTTTGTAGGGAAAGGAGCATAGTTTAATACACAATTTGGAGTGGAAGCTGGGTCGAGGCAGACTATAATTTCTTACACCTGTGTCCTCCCTAACAATTTGTTTACTGTCAGTTCCTGTTGTCTTCCCCTAAATTGGGGTCATGACAGTTTGTTAGACTGTGCTGCGACCACTCTTACTATTCACATTCCTATTTGGATGTGTCTCCGCACCCTAATGATTGCTGAAATCCAGTATTTTGAGAATGTCAGAACAACCGTTTTTTCGGCTTCCCTGGTAAGCACGTATACTTGTTATGAGATCTGTTTTATGAGGCGTTGGGTAGGTTGCGGATTGAGGTGCATCTGTGCTGACACACTTGCTTGTCAGCACCTGCACCTTTAATTTTCGTAACAGTTCTGGTTGTGCTGCTTTCCATAGGGACCCCTAACGTCAGTGTCGATGTAATATTGAACATGACTGACTGAAAGGGAAAATTTCTATTACGTATGTAAACTCTCGTTTCCTTAAGGAGGGAAGGGAGACGTTATGTCCCTCATGCCACAGCCGTGAACTGCGCTGAATGCCGGGATGCTTCCTTGGCTCCTTAGCACAAACCTGAATGAGTGGATGCACGCCGCCATATTATATACCCGTATGTACGGGCAGTGGTTGGCATGCAAATTCCACTCGCCAATTATCATTGGCCGTTTCTCGTAATGCTCAGAGGTGATTGGGGCTCCCAAGTGAAACCCCTAACGTCAGTTTCATTGTAATGTCTTCGTTCCCTCCTTCAGGGAACGAGGGTTACATACGTAACCGAGACATTACTTTACAATGCTCTTGAAGTGCACTTAAAAGGCAACTTAGTGGGAAAAAATGTAATTATCTTTGCGTTCACACTGTCCCTGGCATTAGAAGTGGACTCAGATCTCTTTTTGATCCACTTCTATTAACTGTGAGGTTTGGATGCTGAACCAATTGAATGCTTCCTGTGTTAGAGAGAGTGTAATTTTTTCTTTGGCCAAATGTATTGTCTACAGTTTGTTGTCTTATCTTTATCTGGAGGCCTACTGTTTTCACTCTAGTCTCCATCCCCAATGAGCCCTTGTATTCCAGACAAAAACACTGCTCTATTTGTAGCATCATATTTATTTTTGAGGCTCTAACAGACAGCAAAAGTTTATCCTTGTCTTCCCCCTGCCTTTTCTACTCCCCACATATCGTATAATCTTAACTCTGGGCTGCCGAAGATTTACAGTCTAGATATAAATTACACACTCGACAATAACCCAGAGGTGAAAATAGAAACTCTCTAGAGAATCTGGAAAATGAAAGAACTCACAAATGTTTGTTTGATGTCAAATCGCCGATTGATGGTGCTTTATAGTCAGTGTTTGAAAGATTTGGGTTAATAGCGCTTTCCTTTAAAATCCATAAGTAACAATCCTGTGGCTATCCCATATGTTGTCCTGAAATTTGTCCTACAGGGTGTCTGGATTTATAGTCATCCCATTGTGTTTGTGGTCAGTGCCACATTGACGTTTGATTTCTTTCACCGTCTTTAAGAGTGTTTAAAGTTTTTTTCATTGTGTGGTTGACACAGAATCCTTTGTGCTGTTTCCAGTAATGACAACAATTAGTCCTTTATAGAGAGTTTTGTACAACACTGACGTCTTTTACAACACTATTGTAGGATGAGATAAATCATTTTGCTTAATAAAACTGCTTGTCAATCAAGTATGCAAATGTAGATTGCACACTACAATGCCATTGTTCAATACAATTCTCTTCAAATTGCCAATGCACTAGTTGCCTTGAAAAAAACTTACCGTAAATACGTTCAGTTACCAGTAATGCCACAATACCACCCCTTGCTTCAACAGTGAGAATTGCGTGCACATTTGTGCTCTGACACATTTCGGGACGGTAGAAAGATTTGGAAACCTGTATTAGCAGAAGTGTGTATGATAGAAATTTCTGTATTTCATGTGCTTTTTTTAGACACAAATGAAAAGCAATTAATATTGTGGATGAAAAACAGACCAAGTGGCATGTATATTCTGTAAAATGTATAAGCTACACATTTACATTTAGTCATTTAGCAGACGCTTTTATCTAAAGCGACATACAAATGAGGACAATGGAAGCAATCAAAATCAACAAAAGAGCAATGATATGCAAGTGATATAACAAATCTCAGTTAGCTTAACGCAGTATAGGCTTCCTTGGCTCCTTAGCACAAACCTGAATGAGTGGATGCACGCCGCCATATTATATACCCGTATGTACGGGCAGTGGTTGGCATGCAAATTCCACTCGCCAATTATCATTGGCCGTTTCTCGTAATGCTCAGAGGTGATTGGGGCTCCCAAGTGAAACCCCTAACGTCAGTTTCATTGTAATGTCTTCGTTCCCTCCTTCAGGGAACGAGGGTTACATACGTAACCGAGACATTACTTTACAATGCTCTTGAAGTGCACTTAAAAGGCAACTTAGTGGGAAAAAATGTAATTATCTTTGCG